TCGAAGGCAACGGGGCCCCCTTATCTGCGCGCCCCACGCGGGCCGGACCGGAGGGGCTGCTGCCGGCGGCTGATACGGGCGGGGCCCCTGCTGGGCGGCCCCGATAAGCGCGCCGGAGAAGGAGTCGCTTCGCCCAGCGGCAGCGCCCCCCGCCCGGGCTACCGGCCCGGGCCCCCTTGGAGCTTCTCCGCCGAGGAGGCGCTCCGAAGCGGGCCTGGCTCGTCTGCCGCGCGCCCGGCCCTTCGCGGGGCTGCCTCCCAGCCGGCCGGGAGCCTCGTCCGAGCAGCCTCCGTTCGGGAGGGGGGCGCGTAGTCGGCCGGCGGTCTCCCCAGGCTGACCCGCCCCCGGCTCAGCTGCGCCGGCCGCGTCTGCTCGGGGTCTGCGCTCCAGGCGGCGGACTCTGGCCAAGCGTCTGAGGGGGCGCCGCCTGGCGCTGCTTCGCTCCCGGGCAGAGGGGAGCGGAGGAGGGGCCGGGCCGGGCCGCGGCTCCGGGCTAGTGACGGGAAGCTGCTCCTGGTTATGTCACAGCAGCGTTTGCAGCGGCCACAAGCCGCGGTTCAGGTTTGGGCCCCCTTCCCCCACCTGACCTTCCAGGAGGGTCCCTGTGGGGGGAGCCCCTGCGCTGAGTGTGGGGGCCAAAGTCAGAAGGCGGCTGTGGTGGTTCCAGCAATACGGGAGCGCCCCTTTGAGGTTCCCCCCCCCCCGGGCCTCATAGCCTTCCTGGCAGAATCGAGAGCTGAATTGTTCCAAGGCTCATCTTGCAGGGAACCGTCTGGTCATAGAAAAGGACTGTTATGTGTGTGTGTGTGTGAGGGGGGGGCTTTGAAACACTGCCTGCCTGAAATGGGGGCTACCCTTTAGCTTTCCCCTCCCGGAGTCAGCGCCCTGCTTGTTGATGCAAAAGAAATCCCAAAGGGATGAGCGGGGCCACCTAACAGCACCGCCAGCTTTATTATTTTTCATACGGAGCACCGCCTCAGCCCCAGGGCTCGGCTGAAGTCAACAACCCGGCATCAGACAGGCGGCACCCGGGGGGGAGGAGGAGGAGGAGGAGGAGGAACGGTTCTCCCTCGGCATTTCACTGTGGAAGCAACAAGAGAGAAACCAAGAGCCGGTCAAGGGAGGCGAGGCCGGAAGCCCTGCTCCGTGCAGGGGGGGGCGGGGGGGTTCCCAGAGGGAGAGATCCGCTGCTCGGGAGCGGTTTGTGGCAACGGCCCCGACGCCTCCCCCTCGGGGCTGCCGCAGCGCCGTCCCTTGGCAGGAGCCGCAGCTGCTCCGTTGCCAGGATTGCCTCCGGAGCCCTCCGCGGCCCGCGCCGCTTCCCGTAAAGGTCGCTTAGCCCTTCGGGGCAGGAGCCAGCCAGCCCCGCCAATCGGCGGGGGGCGCACAGGCCCATCAGCCACGTGCTGGGAGGGGGGGCTGCCGAGCTCCCGGGGGGTCTGGGGGAAGAGCGGCAGCCGCTCGGCCAGGCTGAGGAGGAGGAGAACAGGCGCTGCCGGGCCGGCCCCTCAGGGCTGGGGTTTCCTGCTCGTGCATTGAGTTGTCAGCACAGCCGTGGGAAACCTTCGTCCCTCCCGCTTCCTCCCCCTTTCCCTCCAGGCAGGGAAGCGCTGCCCTTCCACACAGGCAAGTTCTCCAGCCGCAGAAGCGATGGAGGGCAGGCCGAGAGAGAGGCTGAAGGGCTGCGGAGATGCAGGGAAGCGGCTGATGTCCAAGGTCTCCCTCCTTCTCCCCAGAGCGGTTCTCTTTCGTTGTTAAAACAGGGAAGCCCCCCGGCCCCCTTTTGCCCACCTCCCCAGCCACCCATCAGCTCATCCCCCAGGCACGAGGCTCTGGGAGGGGCTGCAGGGTCTCCCAAGGGCTTGCCCTCGGAGGGTCAGTGGGACCCCAGGCGCCTCTAGGGAGGCCTTTTCCTTCAGTGCGCATTCACAATGCCTTTTGAGTTCTGGATCATGCTGTAGGAGAGAATATTTCACTGGCTGAAGAGAGATTTCCTGTTGTCTTCCCGGGTCAGACTCTGGAGAATTACCAGTGATTGACTGGGGGGGGGGGGAGATCCTGCTGGCCCTTTCAAGTGCCCTGGGGAAAACTAACTTCTTATTTTCTTACTTCCACATTTTGACCTGGCTCTCCAAGGAAAGGTTCAAAGACAGAGAGCTTTAGCTTGAAACCCCAAGCAAGTTGAGTGGAGACTGGGGGGGGGGGGAGGCATTCTGGTTCTGACTGGGTTTTCCCCCTCCCCAAATAGAATATAATTCTTTATTGGCCAAGTGTGGTTGGATACACAAGAAATTTGTCTCTGGTGCATAAGCTCTCAGTGTACATACAAGTAATAGTATAAATCATGATCATAAACAACAAAAATACATTCATCATAAATCATAAGATGCAATACTTAGTGATAGTCAAAGGATACTAAATAAGCAATCAACATAAATCATACTAGGATACTAAATAAAACAATATAAACCGTAAGATACAAGCAACAAAGATATAGTCATAAGGAGATGAGATAGGTAATAAGAAAGGTGCCAAACCAGACAGTTAAAGAGGAGCAAACGACAGGCTCAGTAATTCTTCTGTCTTGTATCAGCAGCTCCTTGGGCAGTCTGAGCTCTTTGAGTTGGCGCAGGAAAAATATTCTTTGTTGTGCTTTTTTGATGACATTTTTGATGTTAGGTGTCCATTTTAAATCTTGAGATATTATAGAACCTAGAAACTTGAAGGTCTCTACCATTAATATTGTGTTCTCTAGTATTGTAAGAAGTGGTACAATAGTAGGGTTTCTCCTAAAATCTACTATTTCTACAGTTTTGAGTGTGTTCAGTTCAAGATTGTTCCGGCCACACCACAAGGCTAGTTGTTCAAACTCCTGTCTGTATGCAGATTCGTCGTTGTCTCGAATGAGACCAATCACTGTTGTATCATCTGCAAGCTTCTGTACTTTAACAGAGGGACCTTTAAGAGATGCAGTCATTGGTATATAGAGAGAAGAGAAGTGGAGAGAGCACACAGACCTGGGGGGGGGGGGGCTTCTGTGCTAATTGTACAGGTATCAGATGTGATTTTGCCTAGCTTCACTTGCTGCTTCTTGTCTGTTAGAAAGCTTATGATCCACTTTCAGGTGTGGTCAGGCACAGCTAGCTGATTTAGTTTAGTGAGAAGAATATCTGGAATGATGGTATTGAATGCCAAGCTGAAGTCTACAAAAAGGACCCTTGCATAGGTCTTTGGAGAGTCAAGATGTTGTAAGATGAAGTGCAGAGCCATATTAACAGCATCATCTGCCAATCTATTTGCTTGGTAGGCAAATTGCAAGGGGGTCTAACAGCAGATCCGTGACGGTTTTCAGGTGGGCCAGCGCTAACCTTTCAAAGGTTTTCATAACTACAGATGTCAGGGCAACCGGTCGGTAGTCATTCAGTTCTTTGATGGAGGGTTTCTTTGGCACTGGGAGGAAAAGAGCATTTGGAGCAAGAAGGAGCATAGCACATCTCTAGTGATTTATTAAAGATGCGGGTGAAGACGGGGGCCAATTGGTGTCAGCACAAGCTTTCAAGCGAGAAGGCATTACCTTGTCCGGGCCTGGTACTTTTCCAGGCTTTTGTCTGTGAAATGGACCTTGCACATCATTTTCTGTGATCACCAGAGGTGGGGGGCCCAGGGGGATGGGGTCGGTTGTAGGAGGTTTGGCTGTTGTATCTGAGATGGGGGTGGTGGAGATAGGTGACAGTCGTTTCCTCTCAAACCTACAGTAAAACACGTTCAGGTTATCTGCCGGTTGTCGATTCCCTTCGGCATGGAGAGGAGGTTTGCTGCAACCAGTGATATTTTTGAGAGTTTTCCACATATTTTCTGGTTCATTTGTTGAGAGCCGATTCCTTAGCTCTTCAGAGTAGCTTCTCTTTCCTGCTCCGGTCTCCCTTGTTAATACATTCCTGGCCGGGTTGGACAGCATTCTATCTCCTTTCCTGTAGGCTTCCTCTCTGGCACAACCTAGCTGCTTGAGTTTAGCTGTGAAGCAAGTCTTGTTGTTACTGCATAGTTGCAGGTTTCTGGTTGGCACACATAGGTCTTCACAAAAACTACCATGAAGTTACAGTGTCTGTGAGTTCGTCCAGGTCTGCAGAGGCGTCTTCGAAAACTTTCCTACCTGTGCAGTCAAGGCAAGCCTGTAGCTGTAACTTTGCCTCCTCAGTCCAGGACTTCACTGATTTAATTGCTGGTTTTGTGGTTTTAAGCCTTCGTCTATAAACAGGTGCAAGGTGAGTCTGTCATACAGTGATCAAAGTGTCCCACAGATGTTCCTGGTAGAGCCCGATAAGCATCTTTTAATGTTGTGTAGCAGTGGTCTAAAGTATCCTTGCCTCTAGTGAGGCAGTTGACGTGCTGAAAGTATTTTGGTAGCTCTTGGCTTAAGTTAGCACTGTTGAAATCTCCTAACACAATGAGGAGAGAATCAGGATGTTTTTCCCCAGCCCACAGAATCTGGTCAGCTGGAGTTCCTAAGGCAATGTTTATGCAGGCTTCTGGTGAAACATACACTGCACACAGGAGGAATGAGGAGAACTCTCTGGTGGGGAATAAAATGGTTTGCAATTGATAATTCATGACTCTAAGTCCACATCACAGAATTTCTTTAGTGTAGTTAACATTTTTGCACCGTCAGCTGTTGATATAAAAGCAGAGACCCCCCCTCCCTTCTTTTTGCCAGATGTTAAATAGGGGCTCCTTGTGGAGATGCTGCTCTTCCATTGCACAAGTGGGAAAAGGCTTCCCCCTCCCTGGGATTTCAGCCGCAGCCCGGCCCAGGTTGAGGGCCCTTTCCGGGGCTGCAATCTGCCAGCACATCTACACACACACACAAACACACACACACACACACACACACACACACACACACACACCTTCTCTGAGCATCCCTCTGTTAAACTCTCTGTCTCCTCTTTCCCCCCTTCAGAATTCCCCGGGTGAGCTGAGGCTGCCAACGTGGAGGCTGAATGGAAAAGTTGCAGAAGGTAACTTCTCGGGGGTGGGGGGGGGCATTGTTTGTTCAGCAGTTTGGAAAACGTGCCCAGTGTTCCTTTCTGAAGGTCCTTGGTGCTCTCTGAGTTGGGTGGTTTTCTTGCAAACATTTCATTACCAAACTAGGCAACATCATCAGTGCTAGTAGGGGGCACTCCTGAGCAGACCCCACCCCCTTCTAGGTAGCCCTGGTGTTACCTTGTCTGGGTAATAAGACGTCTGAAAGGAAACGACCCGGCTCAGAGAACCACCAGGGAGCCTCGATTTCAAGCTTGGGCTACAAACCTTCTCCTTTATGGCTACTCCTCTCTGCACAGAGCTATTGGCAGCAGAGGAAGCAGAGGAAGCAGGGGAGGCCCTGGCACTGCCAGTAAGTGGCTCTTGCAAGACTTCCATCTTCCCCACAGCTCAGACAGAAAAGAAAAGGGTGAAGGTTAATCAGTCGTTGGCAGAACAAGTGCAAAAAAGACCCAGTCATGACTGCTGTGGTGATACCAAAGGCCCCCTCGTCACAGTTGTGGAAGAGCCCCCAAAGGTGGAAGCGGGCTGGTGCCGGGTCCTTCCTGCTGTTGGGGGTGGACAGAGAAAGGGGAAGAGGGGGACACAGGCAGTGGTGGGATTCAACCAGTTCGTACCACTTCGGCAGAACTGGTAGCTAATTTTTTGTTGCCCAGCCCAGAATGGACTTCCGGAAGTGGCATCCACACAGAGAACCGGTTGTTCACCTATTTGAATCCCACCACTGGACACAGGCTGCTTTCCCCCACCCCTGGCCTTCCTGGGTCATTCCAAATGAGCAGAAGAGGCTGCTTTCCCATTTATAAAACGGAAGACGCTTTAGCACAGCCCACCTGGCCCTGCTATAGTTTAACGTTTCTTCCGCAAAGCTCTGCATCTGCCATTTGATCAGTCTCAACGTTCTCATGGCATGGAGGATCCACGGTGGCGCAGTGGTGAGAATGCGGTATTGCAGGCTAATTCTGCCAACTGCCAGGAGTTCAGTCAGCCTTCAGCCTTCCATCCTCCTGAGGTCGGTGAAAGGAGGAACCGTATTGTTGGGGCTGGAAGGTCCTGTCTCTGGATCAGACCATCCTGGGTCTGGCTTAGCAGTTCACTGGAGTGCGGCACAGTACACCCGTTCGGGCACCAAACTCCTCGCCAGCCATCTCTGGCCTGAGGTAGCAGCACCAACTGCTTCCCTCCTTTTTTGCTTCATTGGGGAGATACGCAAATGGGGGCACGAAGAGAGAGCGAGAGAGAGAGACTCACCAGCCTAGATAAGCTCAGGCGGAGTCCTCCCCTTGCCTGCTGCAAGCCTGAAAGGGACAGTAGCAAAACCTGAACAGGAGCAACAACTCCATCCAGCAGGGTTAAACGGGCACAACTGAGGCAGGAGGAAGATTCCCGGTTGGAGCAATGCGATTGGCAGTGACTGGTGCATAAGTGGTCCTGCCTTCCCCAGGTGTCCAAAATGGGCAGCTCCACTGGGGAAATGAGACTTCCAGTCCTAGGCCCGTTTCGAGATCTGACCAGTGCTAGGGCACTGGGCCATTTGAACGGCCAGCCATTTTGCTTCCATCAGCTTCCTCAGAAAATAGGTTCACCACAACCATCTTTTTTCTCCTTGACCCACTCCAAAATGTGTCCCTTTTCTAGAGGAACCTTTGAGTTCAGGAGGCTACAGCCCCAGGTTGCACTGCAAACATGTCAGGGCAAAGAAATTCAGGTGTTTGACTGGGGGGGAGGCAGGAAATAAAGGATGGGGCAAATATGTGCATCCTGTAAGCAGCTCTCCACCCCTCACAAAAGACCTCCCCCCAAGGGAGCTGATCGCTCTCAGACCTGCGAGTGCTTGGAGAGACCCCGCGCCTGAAGGAGGCCAAAGGCAGCGAGAGGCCTGCTTGAGCCTTCCTGATTAGCCTCCTCCTTTTCCCTTGCAGCATCTGACTTCCCCGAGGAGCATCATTGTGTCGGCTCGGGGCTCGGGGCTCCCCGGATCTCCATCCAGCATCGTGGTGAGAGCCTGCAGATGCCTTGAGTCCACTTATCCTGCTTTTAGCAAACTATGGCCAGCTTAAAAACAGAACAAGGAGAGCAGGGGGCGAAGGAAGGTGCTCTGAGGAGGGAGCAGAGAAAATGGCTTTTTCTCACCAGAGTTTGAGGGAAGAAAGCTGCTCTTGCAGGGAGGGATGAGCAAAGCTTCGTTGGCCCTGAGCCAGGAAGAGACGGGCGCGTGCCGTGCTGGGCAAGAGTGGGGCTGCCCTGTCTGCCCCTCACCCCCAGATACAGCGGCTCTGAGGGAGGGGCAAAAGAGCATGGGGGAGCCAGAGGGGATACTGGGACCTTCGGACAAAGGAAACCGGGGGGGGGGGAATTGAGGCACAGGAGTCCAGTGAGGCTCGGGTGCGTCAGCATCTCACAGACTCATCTGGCCCTCAAGGCATATTCCAGTCCCTCTGAAAGCTTTTGCTTCCCAAGGAGGAAATTTAGTGTCTTTGTGAAGAGTTGGGGTCCTCTTGAGAGGGCGCAAGCAGACCCCCCCTCCTGGGGCTGGCTTTGTGCCCGTGGTAGGTCTCGAACTCGAGTTTCCCTGCTTTACCTTAACCACTTGATCAAACCGGCTCTCCCAGCATGGGGAGGGGCTACGCAACCTTGGCTCTGGCTTATGCTTCTAAGTCCCAACAGAATGTGGGCAGCTCCCCAGGGTGTGTGTGTCCCAATCTAGGCTTGGAAGAATGGGGCGGCCTTGTGGAAGCCCCTTGCTTTTCTCTCTCTGTGCCAACCTCATAAGATGGCCCCTCCCCCCGGCCTCTTCTCTCCTCTTCCTAGGCCAAAATGGATGACGAAGTCCTTGGCTACAAGGACTTGGCAGCCATCCCCAGGGACAAGGCGATCCTGGACATCGAGCGTCCTGACCTGATGATCTACGAGCCCCACTTCACCTACTCCCTCCTCGACCACGTGGACCGGCCAGGGAGCCGAGAGGTGAGGCCTGCAGTCGGTGGGGCTGGACTGTCCTACTGGGGGAGTGGAGGACGGCCAGGCTATCGCGCTGCTCCCAAACGAGTTTCCTGCAGTGATCACAGCAGCAGCTTGGCAATGTTAGGGCAACCGTGAGGGGCTTTAGCGGAGTAACATTAGGTCGAGTAACGTCCGCCTCTCCCGGCTGTTCTTCTTGCAGCCTTCGCTCTCGCCCACGTCTCTCTCTCCTCCCCCATCGCCAGAAGTAAGTGCTCCTCCGATGGGCGGTTGGACGGGCAGGGAGTTGCTGGCACTTGGGGGGGGGCTCAGACTAGGTCTGCTTATATTGTGGACTTGCTGTCCTTGGCAAGGAAGCTTTGAAGGAAGGAGCCGCTCTCGGGAGGAGGGGATACAAAGCCCAGCAGCCACTCCTTGGTGTCCCTCTGTCGATGCGCTCTCTGCTTTCAGGTCAGCCAGGACTGGGCAGAGGCCAAATCCCCAGGAAGTGTCGGCAAGGCCTCCAGGCGCCGGGCCGGCAGCAGAAACCGCTCTGGAGTCCAGCACTTCCATCATCCTGGTACGGCCTTCCTCGGGGCCAGTGAGGCCCTCCCGCTCCAACTGCCAGGGCTTCTGCACCGCATCTCTCTGAGTCTGGCCCAGGAGCTCAGCAGCCTTTCCTCGCCTGGAGCTGCAGAGAGGCTCATTTCCCCCTAACGTTTGGGGCCATTTTTGAAGGGGCACGGGGGCCACCCATTTGCCTCTTTGAGCCCCCCGCGGCCAAGCCCAGCCTTTTGATTTTCCTCCTCCGGGTGGTTTGCAGGTGGTCTATCATGCTGGTTTTATTCCAGCCTCTGGGTCACCAGGGTGCAGCCTCCTCCCCCCAAAAAGTGGAGTTACTCTGCAAATACACCATCGAGGGAGGGAGAGGGAACAGGGAGGACCTGGGCATCCTCTTTGCATGGAGGTGCTCACCCATTCCTGTTCCTTCCCCAGAGACCAACACAGCGGAGATGAACATCTACAAGAAGCCGCCCATCTACAAGCAGAGGGGTAGGAGCTGCTCCTGTGAGGGGGGTGGGGGTGGGGGTGGTAGCGTTATCTGAGACTCAGGACTCTTGACTTCTTCCAGAGGCTGGGCTGGCACCGACTCCCGAGAGCAAACGGCTGATTGAGGGCCTGATTATTGAATCCTCCAAATTCCCTGCTGCTCAGCCACCGGATCCCAGCCAGCCAGCCAAGATCGAGACTGACTACTGGCCCTGCCCGCCCTCCCTGGCAGTCGTGGGTAGGTACTCTTCCCCAGGCAGCCCTCGCTGTAGATCGGCTGCTCTGGGCAGCAACCAAACAGCTCAGGCTCCAGGGAATGTTCTCCTCCTCTGTCTTCCCTCGGGGTCCTTTCATTTTATAAAAGAAGGACAATTATCGGTGTTGATCCACAGAAAAAATGGAAAAGCCATAGTTGGTTTTATTAGGCTGAGGCAAGAAAAAGCAGGGCGATCTGAGAGGCAGAGGGGAGGAGGAGGCCGCCTGGTGTGAGCCCAAGTTCTCTCAGGAGCCCCCAGCTGTGCCCAGGGACTCTCTGCCTCTCCTTAACTGAACAGAATAACAGCATTGGAAGGGACCGTGGAGGTTTTCTAGTCCAACCCCCCTGCTCAAGTAGGAGACTCTGTATCTTCCTCAAAGCTGAGTCTGATGGACTGCCCAAATTCTGAAGGGGCTCTGAAGCCCTCCAGGGTTGATTAATGAAGCACAAAGGTCCCAGTTCCAGACCAAGTTCCCTTTGAAGTGTGGAGAACTTTACGATCTCTCTTAAAGGATCTGCTCATTCAAGTATTGCAAGACAAAAACCTTTGGTTTCCAGGCCTTCTGCACACACACACACACACACACACACACACACACACACACACAAACACAAAACTGCAGTTAGTAAATCCTGGTTGCACCCTCCCAGAGACTGAGTGGCGGAGGCAAAAGGCGTCCAAGAGAGGTGAGGATGTGGATGAGGACTCAGAAGAGATGAAAAGTCTCCATGAGCTGCAGGAACAGGAGCTGAGCAAGGTAGGGGGAGGCTCCGTGGGGAGGGGGCGGGTCAGTTGGGGGTTCCTTTCGGCACTCTTCCCTATCCCCACCGTAGGTGGCCTCCAATCTGGGCAAACTCATCCTGAAGGAGGAGATGGAGAAATCTCTCCCAGTCCGGAGGAAGACCCGGTCACTTCCAGATCGAACTCCCTTCCATGCCTGTGAGTGATGCCCCCCCCCCGTTCAGTGCTGAGCATGGGGAGGGGGGGGCTGCTTGCATAGAATCCTAGAGTGTAATATAAGCCTTGGAAGGGACTTCCAAGAGATTATCTAATCCACCCCCTGATAGAGCAGGAATCTGCACCAAATCCGCTTTCTTGTGATTAAAACCCAATGTTTCTTGCCCTGTCTTTGGGCTACTACAGAATAGCCCCACCCCATATGGTGGCCTTTGGGATACTTGAGTGTCATCGTCATCTGCCCTCCACCTGGCTGCTCTCCTCTAGAAATGTTTCTGAAACTCCCTCAAACGCCGTGTCCGGAGCTGATGCTACAGTGTTGGTGCAGGACGACCGGCGCAGTGCAGGGGACTCCTGATCTTGGGGTGGTCCTTCCTTCCGTTCACAGGGTCTAGCACGGCCTTCCCCTTTTTGTGCAGCTGCATGACACTCTCTTGCAATGACAGCCTGAGTGTGAAGGTTGTCTCTTCATTGGACTGGAGATGGTCAAGGGGCCGTTGTTCTGGAGGGCGAGGCTGCCCTTTGGCGTGGATCGCCATTAAGGGCACTCCCGTTGTAGAAAGCAGCTGCGGTTGGTGCTGCCATGAATTGGCATTTCCGCCCTGAGTGCTGCATATCTGCCCTTTGCCATGAGAGAAGGAAGCGGCCTTGCCCTCAGGACAGGGTGATGGAAAAAGTCTACGCTAGAACTGTGATTCATTCAGTTCCCCAAAGAGGCTGGGAAGACTGGGCAGTTTAAAACCTTTAATCCCAAGTTCACAGTTTAGAAATCAACCACAGAAGTGTTTGGGCCTTTCCTGTCCTTGTGCTGCTCCTGAAGAGCAGGAATAAATAAAGTGGTGGGTTCTGGTGTTTTGAAGCCCTCCGTGTCCCCAGCTAATGGGCTCCCCCTCCCCCCATTGCCAGATCTCCTGGCCTGTCACAGCAAAAGGTGCTCCTGCTCCACCCCCCCCAACCAGTCCGTCCTCTGAGCATTCATTGCCCCCCATTGAGCAGCTTCTTCTCTTCCAGCGTTGCACGGAGGGAGCTCAAAGCCATCCCCGCTTCCTGCCTCTGGGAGACACACGCTTGCCAGGGTAAGGGGGGCCCTCTGGAGCGAGGGGGGGCCTGGGGCGCTCGGAAGGAAGCAAGGAAAAGGGGCAGGCAGGCTGTGGAAGACTTCCTTGCATGGATGTTTCTGGATTTCCCCTTTCAAATAGGTTCTTGCTCTTGGTTGTCCGAAGACGGAAATGAAATGAAATTGAAGGGGGGGAGGGGAGGGGAGGATAGATGGGGGAGGGTGGAAGGAACAGAGCATGTTCTGGGTAGTGGCTCCCCCCCCCCCTTTCAAATTGCCCTGCCCGCCCTCTCTTCAGCCAGCCAGCCTGCCCCAATTCCTCCAGCTAGGTTTGCACTGAGCAAGCCCGTGGGGTGCCTGTCCTGCCCTGCCTGCCTCAACCGGGCGCCTGGGTTGCCTGCTTCAGGCTCCAGCCCTGCCTGGACAGCAGCATTTTCGCAGCTGCTCAAGCCTTGCCCCGTGGATGACGCTGCTCTGCTACTCTCTTTCCCTAGCTGCAGTCGACGGAGTTTGGAACTGGCAGCAGTGAGAAAGGCAGTCCAGGTAAGAGAAACTCCTGTCCACTGCAGGCTTGGAGCAGAGGCAGACCCCCCCCCTTTGGGCCCCTCGAGTCTTTCTGCTCCTCTCCAGTCACGGCCCGGCCACATTCTCCCTTCTGTCTTGCAGGTCTGCAGGTGAGCAGGCACCCTGATGGGGGAAGAGAGCAGCACAGAGGCCGCACGCACTGATGCCTGCCCCACACCCAGCACCCCCAGACTCGGGAGGGGCAGGCCTGAGGAGGGGGCAGGGGCCGCCCACCCTGATCCCTTGGGATGGATGGGAAGCCCTGCCTCCAGCTGAGGGCCACGTGTGCCTCTTCCCCTGCAGAATGGCCAGAGAAGCCGCATGGACAGAGGCAGCTCCCTCCCCAGCATGCTGGAGCAGAAGGTGAGAGCCCACCTGGGGGGCACAGGGTGGCCGCAAAGCAAGGCCTTCCTCCGCAGGCCAGGCCCGATGACCAGCTGGCTGTTTGTTTCTCCCTCGCCAAAGATTTACCCGTATGAGATGCTGATGGTGACCAACCGAGGGCGAGTCAAACTGCCCCCAGGAGTGGACCGAACACGACTTGAGGTATGGTGCCTCCCCTCTGGCCCAGGCAGGCAGGGACAGACCTGGCTTAGTAGCCGTGGGCTGGGCCAAGCGGAGCCCTTCCAAGCAGCATCCTCTTCCCCCCCCCCAGCGGCACCTGTCACCCGAGGACTTCCAGCGGGTCTTTGAGATGCCCCCAGAGGAGTTCTCCCGACTGGCCCTGTGGAAGCGGAACGAGCTGAAGAAGAAAGCCTGTCTCTTCTGAGTCCCTCGCAGCCTCCCTGCCCAGCGTGAGCTCCGCGTGTGTCGTGCATCGCAGAGGCTTTAGGGCACCTCTTGAGCAGGCGCCAAGGAACACTCCTCCCCCCCTCCCAGCCACGAGGAAGTCGGCCGGCGGGCCCGTCGGGCAGGGGAAAAGGAGCCGCCTAGGAGTGTGTAGCCCCCCCTCCGAGCATGAGCCAGAACCTGGAATAGTTGGGTGGGAAAGGGGGGCACCTCTGCTTCCCTGGCACCTGAGAGGCACCTCCTCAACCGCCATCCAGCAGGAGGGACGTCCTCACTGCCTTGGCTGTCCCCGTGGCCAAATGGCAAGCTTTGTGGAGCAGGCACCCCTAAACAGAGGCACCTCGAAAGGGCCAGTCTCCCTCCCAGCTGCCTTCATTCTCCTCCCCAGGCAGTTGGGACCTTCGATTGCCCCAGCTTGCCCTCCTCTCCTCACGGGCCTTCTTAGCGCGCAGACTCGGGCTGGGCTTCCAGGTGGGGCTCTGGGCAGCGGTGCAGCTGCCTGTGCAGGTCTTTGTCCTGGCTGCAGCTGGCTTCCCACTGCCCTGCCCCTGGGGGGTGGAGGATTGCTCCCCCACAAACGGGGAGGTGCGTGAGGCCCCACAGCACTCATTCTGCATCCCCCTTCCCCAGAAACACACCTCTTAAGATTGCCCTGCAACTTCACTCTTTCTGGGACAGTTTAAGTCCTTCAGAGGACGGGTCTGCGCATGAACCCTCCCACACAGCAGAGGCAAGAGTGTGCAGAGACCCTGTTCCCTCCATCGCCCACCAAGCGAGCATCCGATTGTGTAGAGGCGGACACAGGCATAATGGCTGCTGCTGGGCCACGAGAGCTGGGTGGCAGGAGGGCCCAGGAAGAGCGTCACCCTGACAGCTGCTGGCTGGAGGGGGGGCAGTGATGGGGATCAGGAGGCACCTCCTCATTCCAGTTACGCTGACGGGCACAAGGCTGAGATCCTCACTGCAGGCCTGGAGCTGGGTGTGGAATCTCCGTTCAACCATGAAAAGGAAAGCCCCAAAGAAGAATCAAGCGATGAAAGAGTCCTGCCCAAAGTTCATTTGCAAATAGGAACTCTGAGCTACGCAGATCCAATGGGGGGGTGGGGGTGGGGTGGGGCTCTCCAACCATCATGGCAAACAATCTCCCAAGGACGTCATGCTCAGCAGAAGGGAGGCCGTGGCCCGATCGGCTGCTGAGGAACCTGGCACTTTAGGACGAGCCGTGAAGAAAGCGGCAGCTTCTCTTGCATTCCAACGCCCCAAAGTGGCAAATCCTGACGTGGGACGAGTGCCCCACCTGAAGTACAGCTGCCCGAGAACAAAGCTGTGCCACAGACTGGTGGGCACTGCCTTCAGAGGCTCTGCCGCGAGAGCCTGAAACTCAGCCCACCCACTTTCCTACAGTTTCGGCCCACCCTGCCATTCCCTTCCCTGTCATTCCACTCTGTGCAAACGTAGAGCGCTACTTATGTGATGGTTGTTAAATGTGGGCCTCTTACTGTAGTTCAGTCCCACCAACCTACTTTTGCTGATGTCAAAATCTGTGACAATTTCCCCCTTTTTAATTAAATGTGAAGCAGCTTTATTCAAAAAGCTTTGTTTTGGGCTGGTGTTTGTTTCCTTGGAACTGGGGTTGGTAGGTGGCTCAATTCCCTTGGGGGGTAGAATTCTAAAGCGGGGGCTCCCAGTCCCCGGGCCGTGGCCCACCTCCAGGCCTTGAGCTATTCAGAACCAGGTTGCGGAAGTGGCGGGCGAGCGTGCACCTCCCCACTTGTGCAAAAGGCAGGCGAGCACGTGCGCATGCTTGCCCGCCACTTGTGTGGAACCATTCCCTCTCCCCCTCCAGCAGTCCTCAAAGCCGAAAAGGTTGGGGAACTCTGTTCTAAAACATTCAAGCTAATCGGGCTGTTTCTGAGACTTTATTTACTGCAAATGGCTGTGGAGTCCTGTCCCAAAGGCAGGACCTCTGCTCTGGTGCCCCGTGTTGAGCAGAAGTGGCCTCTGCCAGCCGAGCAGAGCCGAGCCTTCTGCTGTTTCCCGGAGAGGAATGTGTGGCCTTGGACAAGCTGGCCTTTGGGAAAGAAAAGCTGGGTCTGCAGGGCCTTCTGATGGGAATAAAGCACGGGGGCTAAGACAAAAGATACGGACAAAATCTACATTGAGGGACTTCACGTTTTCAGCCAGGAATATAGGAAGCTCCAGGTTGGACTAGATGCCATTTTATTCACCAAGCTTGCCACAGTGTCCCTTCTTTGCCTTAGTGGGGTTCTGCTCAGAAGAATATTGATTAAACGTGAAGACAACTTCCTTTTTGTTGGCTGGTTCTTCCAGCTGAAGACCTGCCACCTTCACTAAAGATGTCACCTATTTACAGCTGGCGGCTTAACAGGCACTTCACCGTCCTTCTGTGGCCAACTTCATTCTTCCAAGGAAATGGGCTATTTTAGCCAGATCCATTTGTCTCCCACATCAGCATTGTAACCCTGTGCAAACATGCGTCCAGGAAGCTGCAATGAAAGGAAAGCAGGGAAGATCCCTCAGCATTAAGTAAACATTTGCTTCTGCTTCTGCTTCTCTGAGCAGGTCCGTCCCGTATCCTTGATCCAATGATCTTTCTCCTCAGGAAGTCCTGGGAACTGACACTTGGCAGGGAAGTCTCTGCTTTCTTCCAAGTGGCTGTTTCCAAGGCTTTGTGAGAAGAAGTGGTCCAGCATCAGTTGATTTGAAATTTCAAATAATTATTAAATAAAATAATCAAAATAATTTATTAATAAAATGTATTTCCTCTCTACCTCTACCAGTCTAAGATCCAGTAACAAAACAAATCAGTGACCTTCAAACGGGAGTACTTGACTGGCAGCAGGCTCACCCAAGAAAAACGAGCTGTGGTCGGCCAAAGCGGCCGATGGCCAATCTCTCCACAGGCAGCCGAAGGTCTTCTTGACCGAGGACCAGCCTTGGTTCAGTCTTCACACTTAATGGCCACACGGATTTTCTCCAGAGAATGTCCTCTTACCTCCCTGTAGCTGTGGTAGATTGCATCAGCATCGAGGCCTCCTACTGTGACTTCAGGAATGTAGTCGGGAACCACCAGAGGACTCAGTATTTTGGATTTGTCATTAACACTGAAAGGAAAAGAAAGCTCGTTACGGTGATTGATCCAAAGAAATCAAGAAGCAACTAGGAGAAACAGACATACTATGAAGCTAGCCAAGTATGAATTGTGGACTTCCTCACTCTTATTATGGCTGGGCAAAGTATCTGAGGTCAGACTTTGGGTTGGTGGATATAGAAAGCAATCCCTTCCTCTAGCTAAAGGGATGGAGCACATCTCCATGACTTCTCCACCATCCCACAGAAAGGAAGCCACAACCTACCTGGGCAGTCACTCACTCTCAGCCTGGAAGATTTTGCAGATGTATAACTTGCACAAGGGTAGAAAGAAATAATAACACGAGTTAAATTGTCTCTGATGACAAAATGAAGCCTGCACCGGGTACAAGCAGACTAATTCCTGAGGACTAGGTGCTGGGGACAAATGATGGCTGGCTTTGCTGGATGTAACTTGAAAAGGCGTAAGAGAAACTGTTGCTGCTGTGGGCCAGCATGGAGGTTCTTCACAGAAAGCATGGGAGGATCCTGCACGGAGGCCTCCTGGCGTCTCCATCGGAGCTGTACGATTTACACGGGAAAGGAAGTTTCTCACTTCCCTGCTGGGAAAGAAATGGCAGAGTGGATCTGCCCCCCCCCATCAAGAGCCCCAAAGGAGACAAGCACTGCAGGGACACCTAATCACCCCAACACTTTCCACAAAGGGGGGCAGGCAAGCTTTCTCTATTCCGATTGCGCCTCTTCAAGCTTTACAGTAAATCCCGACACATTTTTTCTTACTGGGGAGCAACGGAAAAGCTTTCACCAAACCTGCCACACTGTAGTTTCTCTACGTGGCGGGGAGCGGGGAGAAGGGTAAATGATTGGGGTTTGTATGTGTCAAGGAATGGAAAACAAGCATCAGTTACAGCATTTATAAACTGATCCACATATGTACTGTCAACCCTGGAAATTGTTTTAATTTTTCTGACAAGCCATAATTTCCACATTTTGTGCTATGGTTAGAGAGGTGTAGATACTGTATGTAAAATGAAATGTGTAAATAGTTCTCGAAGCCCAGAGTGAGATGCTCATGGAAATCCTGGAGCCTCTTCTAGGATTTGCCTCCTACCTCAGCTTCACAAGAGAAATACCTCAGCCTGCTCTCTGGAGGCGGCTTTGGTACAAAATCCCTCTGGAGTCACAGCTCTGCATGACACCAGTCAGACTAAACACCACAAACGCCTCTTGGGGAGAAGGCCACTTTCTTACGGGCTGCTTCCTGTCTTACATTCCAAAAATCGGCCTGTCTCTCAACCGTGACTGCTGGACTTACCAACACCTCAAGTAATGCAAGGTAAGATCATCTTGTTCAAGCCAAGGTCCTTTATAAAATTTCAGCATTTCAATGTCTTCAATAATCTGTAAATTAAAAGATGGGAATCAATTCCTATAACCCTACAAACTGAAATCTTTTAATTGGTGAGGGAAGAGTTGACCCCAATTCCTTCATGGTACAAAGCTCCCACCTGTCCAACTTTCTCAACATAAAAAGTGGAAAAAGTCTGCTTCTGTCTTTTGCAAATTTAATCTGATTTCAAAGAAACAAAAAAATTATTCTACTGTTGCTTCTCACATTAATGTTAAATGGTTGCACAACTTTTTACCTTCGTAACACATTCCGTCTTTTATTTGTTTAAAAGCTAGTTCCTTCAACTTTGTTTTTTAAAAAAATCCCCCCTTTCGCTTAGCATAACTGTACTTCTTTCGGCCTGTTTTAGTCTGATTTCTTTGTGACCTAAAGCCAGCAATTGATGTCTAATATATTACTAGAAAGCCTTCTACACAAGGGAGGAGTGTTGGCCCCCACCACTTACTCTCTCCATGCTG